CATTGTTTATTCTGTTCAGACCCCTTCTGGGCTCCCAAACTGAAGGTCCCTCACCTGTAACTCGACCTGCTCCTTCTGCTCTTCTGCCTGGCTCAGGAGGAAGCCTTCCACCCGGGCCACTGCCTGGGAGCTGGTCTCTGCTCCACACTCCCGCACCCAGCGTGCCATCTGCAGGGGCAGAAGGGTCAGGAACTGCTCTAGAACAACCAGGTCCAGCATCTGCGCTTTTGTGTGCTTTTCTGGTCTCAACCATCGACGACAAAAGTAGTGGAGACAGCTGCAAAGCCCTCGGGGACCCTCAGCCTTCTGGTATTGGATGCTCCTGAAGTTCTGGGGCTGAACGTCTGAACAGATGGCTTCCTCCTCTAGGATCTTCGGGCCTGGTCTTGCCCAGATCTCCCCACAGCTCCCAGGCTGGAAAGCAGAAGGGCCTTCTCCACTTCCCTCACTTGCTAAGGGTTGTGTCTCCATTCTTTCTCTGTGCAATCACGGAACTCCAAAGGCGTCTGAGGAATCTTGTGGCTCTCCAAATGCCTTTTCATTCATAGGACTGTTCCTCTAGCTGCAGGAATTACTAAAGCAGGCCATTCAGCCCTCTTTGCCCAAGAGAGGATTTTGTCTGTACACAAGGACCTACAAAAGGCTTCCAGATTGTGTGTCTGAGATGGACAAGAAAAGAAATTCCAAGAATTAGAAAGTGATGAATTTCACCATTGAACAACACTCATCCCTATGGAGAGCACCACTTTCCTGAGCTGGTAGAGGACTGGGGTGGCATTGAGCAGATAGGAACTGAGGGCCGGGCACCTGATTGGCATACCTGAATCTTACTTCTTGAGGGTTGCATATTAGTAAGCTGCAAGAAGATGATAACAAGTGGTTATTTGTGTGTTTCTTTGTGTGTGTTGCAAAATAGGGGATTGACTTCCGTCAAGCACTTGGAATGCCCAATAAATGCATCTTGGAGCATTTTCCGTTTCTTTTTCTGAGAAGGAAGGGCTGGCTTTTTAGAAACCCGTATCTACATTTCCCT